CCGGCGTTTGGGAGGGCGAAAAGGAGCTCCCAAGGCATCAAATGAAAAGGCGGATTCGAAAAAAAGATCAAAAAGGCATTTGGGAATTAAAATTGCGAAAAAAGAATCGAAAAAGAATCGAAAAAGAAGAAAATAAAAACAAAAATCGAAAAAGAAGAATCAAAAAGAAGAAAATTTGATTCAAAATTGCAAAACAAGAAGCAAACGCGCACCGGAAAGAGGCCGTGGCGCTGCGCCGGAAGACTTCCCGCCCGCCCATCACCTGCTCCAACTTGCGGCGAATGAGCTCCGGAGAAGGCCCAGAAGCTGCGAAAAAGCGGAAAAGAATGCAAAATTCGAATTCCTTTTGAAATTTAATTCATTTTTGCTTTTTTAATTCGAAAAAAGCACCAAAAATCAGCCAAAACGAACACAAATACACACACAAACTCCACTCAAGTCACCCCTGCTGCAGCAGCAGCAGCAGCAGCCACAGCAGCAGCAGCAGCAGCAGCAGAGCAGCAGCCGAGGCAGCAGCAGCAGCAGCAGCAGCAGAGCAGCAGCAGAGCAGCAGCAGCAGCAGCAGAGCAGCAGTAGCGACGGAAGGAAAAAGAAGTGTGGCAAAAGCCGGCAGTCCAGCGAGACAGTGCAGCCTCATACCCTAAACCCTAAACCCTAAACCCTAAACCCTAAACCCTAAACCCTAAACCCTAAACCCCCGAAAGCTCACGAGCGCCTCTGCTGCTGAAGTCTCCCTTTCTGCTGCTGTGAGCTGCTGCAGCTCCGCCGTCGCCGTGGCCTCGCTCCATCGCTGGGCTCCAAACCCTAAACCCTAAACCCTAAACCCTAAACCCTAAACCCTAAACCCTAAAGTGGCGGATGGCGAATACATAAACCCTCATGCAGCAAGCTGTTGGCGCTCCGGCCCTCACTTTTCTGCGGGCGCAAGCGGCTCTTCTTGTCCGTGCCTTGCTGCTGCTGCTGCTGCTGCTGCTGCTGCTGCTGTTTGTGAGGCTGCTGATGCTGCTGCTGTTGTTACTGCTGCTGCTGTTGCTGCTGCAACAGCAACTTGCCCTTGCTGCAGTGCCTCTGCTGCAGTGAAGTGGGAGCCACTTGCTACCGCGTAGGGTTTGGGGTTTGACTTCTAGGGTTTAGGGTTTAGGGTTTAGGGTTTAGGGTTTGCGTGTGGGGACCCTTATCTTCCTATTTGCTTCTTTTTGTGCTGCTGTTGAATTCTCCTATTCTATCTGCTGTTAACGCCTTGCTGCCGTAAGCAGCAGATGCTGCTGCTGCTGCTGCTGCTGCTGCTGCTGCTGCTGCTGCTGCTGCTGCTGCTGCTGCTGCTGCTGCTCTGCTGCTGCTGCTGCTGCTGCTGCTGCTGCTGCTGCTGCTGCTGCTGCTGCTGCTGCTGCTGCTGCAGTGGCAGCTGCAGCGGCAGCGCCGCGCCTGGGGCCGGCGGTGACCAGTGGTCCGTTTCTGTATACGTGAGTGTCAAAGCTGCGGCTGCTGCAGCATTTTCTGCTGCTGCTGTTGCTGCTGCTGCTGCTGCTGCTGCTGCTGCTGCTGCTGCTGCTGCTGCACTTAGTCGCCTCGCTACAGAGCAAAACTACGATCCGCAGCATAGCATTTTCAGGGCTCCACAGGAGCAACACCTGCAGCTAGAAGGAACTGCTGCTGCTGCTGCTGCTGCTCTTGCTGCTGCTGCCGCTGCTGCTGCTGCTGCTGCTGCTGCTGCAGTTTTCTAGCTGCCGCTTCTGCTGCTGCTCCGGTCCACTGCCTGTGCCGCGCAGAGCAGCTGCAGAGAAAGAAAGAGGTCAGGTGCGGACGCTCGGCGCTGCTGCTGTTGCTGCTGTTGCTGTTTCGCTGCTGCTGCTGCGCTGCTGCTGCTGCGCTGCTGCTGCTGCGCTGCTGCTGCTGTGCTGCTGCTGCCGCGCTGCTGCAGCTGTGCTGCTGCCTCAGCTGTTGCGCGGAGGCACTAGAGGGAAGGGCTTGCTGGCGGTGTGCAGCTGCTGCCTTGCTGTGCACTTCAGCAGCTGCTGCAGCAGCTGCAGCAGCCGCAGCAGCAGCAGCAGCAGCGCGAGGGCAGCAGCAAAGAGTCCGAGGCTCCTGGCCCGAAATGGGGCCTCCAGCAAACTTCGGAGCTGTTCCCTGCTGCTGCTGCGCAGCCCGTTCGCAGCTGAACTTGCGCCGTCAGCTGCTGCTGCTGCTGCTGCTGCTGCTGCTGCTGCTGGGACAGACCCGCGAGGCGCAGTAAGACAAGAAATGCAAAACTGAAATATTTAAAAGAAGAATTAAAGGAGATAATGGAGAAGCTGCGGGGAAGGAGAAGGGAGGCGCGGACTGTGGGCAGACCAGTGGAGCCCACAGCGCGGCGGCGCGACTGGGCGGAAAAGGCCCCAAAAAGCGCCGAATTTGCAAATAAAAACGCCGAATTGGAATTAAATTTCAAATTAAATTCAAATGTGTCGAAAAAAGCGAAAAAAACGGGGCAGAAAGCGCCTTACTTGGCCCCCGGCCGCCGAGGCTTTGCGCAGGCAAGGGCTTTTGGCAGAGCCGCCGGCGCTGCTTCTGCGGCCTCCCCGGCCCTTTTCTCTTCTTCTTTTCCTTTTATTTTAATTCTTCTCCTTTTTAATAATTCCAATTTAAAAAATTCACTAAATGCCGCAGCAGATCGACGCTGCTGCTGCTAGTGCCAGCTGCTCCGCCTCACACGCTGGGACTAGCAGCAGCAGCAGCAGCAGCAGCAGCAGCAGCAGCAAAGGCCTCTCGAGTGACCTCGCAGGCGAAGGGCCTTCCAAGCTACTGCTGCAGCTGCTGCTGCATTTAATTCGAATTAAAATAATTCCAACAACTCCAACAAGTTCTGCTGCTGCCCCTCAAGCTCCACATTTGCTGCCAGCAGCTCGCCGAAACAAGACAAAGGATTTTGCTGCTGCTGCTGCTGCTGCTGCTGCTGCTGCTGCTGCTGCTGCTGCAGCAGTTTTTGTTTGTCTCGTCCGCCTGGCTTAAATTCTCTCCTAAGCCATTCTATCGAAAGCAAAAGTAGCAAATAAATGAACTATGCAAACTAGAAAAGAATTCGGGAAAATAAATTCGAAAATAATTAAAAAATAAATTAGAAAATAATTCTAATTAAATAAATCAGAAAACTATTCCAATTCTTTTCTACTACTTAGGCAGACAGCACCCTCAGCTGCCCTCAAATCTGGCCTCTTGAAGCTCCCTAATAAGCTGCTGCTGCTGCTGCTGCTGCTGCTGCTACTGCTGCTGCTGCTGCAACTGATGTTGCTGCTACCGCTGCTGCTGCTGCTACTGCTGCTGCTACTGCTGCTGCTGCTGCTGCTGCTGCAGCCAGGGCAAAGCGGCTTTCCCGTGAGCTGGCGAAGGCTCTGCATGCAGAAGCTATTTAACTCATGAAATGCATTTAAATAAATTTAAATAAATATAAATACATTTAAATGCATTTAAAGACATTAATTTAATTCCTTGTAACCTCTTGCTGCTGCTACCTCCTCTGCTGCTGCTGCTGCTGCTGCTGCTGCTGCTGCTGCTGCGGCGACTAGAGAGCTGCTGCATTCGGCGAGGTGTACGTACACCCCAGCGGCTGCGGCGCAGCCCAACTGCCACGGACAAAAGAACATTAAAATAAATTAGCATGAATTAAATGCATTATTAAATGCCATTAATTAAATGCCATTAATTAAATGCCATTAAATGCATTTAAAGTCATTTAAATCAAAATATAATTCTTAAATTGCTGCGCATGCAAATGGCACTTTCCACACAACACATAAATATATATATATTCTGCGAAGTGCATATTATATATATATAATACATATACATATACAATACATGCAATTTAAATATAATATAAATATAAATATAAATAAAATATAAATATAATATAAATATAAATATAAAATATATATAATATATAATATATATATTTTGTCTAGGGCTCTCCCTGCTGCGCCCGCCAGCAGCGGCGGCCTGCTGGCTGGCTGCGCGGCTTCGTTTTGTGGGGGCAGCAGCAGCAGCAGCAGCAGCAGCTGCTGCTGCTGCAGCAGCAAGTTCTCCCGCTGCTGCAGGCCTTGCTGCTGCTGCTGCTGCAGCAGCAGCAGCAGCTGCGCAGAAGCGCTGCCGCCGCCGCCGCTTCTGCTTTTTCGGCGGCCGCCGCCGCCGCACCCGCTGCACCCGCCGCTGCAGCAGCAGCAGCAGCAGCAGCAGCAGCAGCAGCAGCAGCAGCAGCAGCAAACTAGCGCTTCGACAAGCCCACTCGAAAAGTGTTGAAGTCCGGGTGATTTACCTGCAGCCGCTGCAGCCATTCTTCCGCCCGCCGCATTTCGCCGCGGAAGAAGTGGGGGGCCTCTTCGGCGCCTAAACAATAAAATAAATAAATAAATAAACAAACAAATAAATAAATAAATAAATAAATAAATAAATAAATAAATAAATAATAAATAAATGAATAAATAAATATAATTGTAATTAATTAATTAATTAATTAATTGGGATAAATGGAGTTGTTTGTTGCAGAAAGAAGAAGGAAAAAATCGAAGAAAAGAAAAACCGGAATTTGCGAAATAATTAAATTTAAAAATGAAAATCATTTAAATAATTAAAATAAAAAATAAATTAAAATAAATTAAAATAAATGAAAGTAAATTGCAATAAATTAAATTAAATTAAATTAAATTAAATTAATTAAAATAATAAAAGTAAAATAAAATAAACTGATAAGTACAAACACAAATTACGAAAATGAATCCATTAGGAAATATATCTCAACAAATTTAAACCAATTAACTTTTCAAAACAAAATAAACAAACCAACACTGGTAAAACAAATTAAATTAATTTAATTAAATTAATTAAATTAAATTAATTAAATTAAATTAATTAAATTAATTAAATTAATTAAATTAATTAAATTAATTAAAATAAATAAATAATTTAAATAAGCAAAATAATAAAAAGCTGACCCGCAGCTAACCACTCCTGGTGGCCTTTGCTGGCGA